CGAATCCCTGAGCTCTGACCTCCTCGAGAGACTCTCTCCGAGCTTGCCATTTTGCATGTTCAACCATACTCTCAGCTTTGGCTTGGTTAACCTCGACATCGATCCTAAACTGAGCCATTTTGGCATCAGCTCTTTTATTGACCTCGATCACCTCAGATCTAGCCACTTCAAGTTCTATGGCCAAATCTGCTTTATCTGAAGTGGCCAAATCCAACCGATGCTGAATCTCTTTTATCTTTTCGATCAGCCCCGAAGCATTTTCTTTCGCAGATCGAAGTTGGGCATCAGACAGCTCCAACTGAGCTTCGACGACTTTCTTTTTCGAGGCAAGGATATCCATACACTTTTTAAATTCTTCTGCCTCGGCAAGTAGTGCATCTACCTATGAGTTAAGGCGTCGAATTTGCTCGATCCTCTGCCGAACCTGCAGAATCGGTTCATTAGTGGTTATCTCCTTTTCATCTTCACTATCACGGAACATTCGAAATACCTGCTCAGCCATCTCCCTATGCTCTTCCCGAGTCGCTGTCAAATCTGCTCGATGTTTTTCACTAAGGATCTTGTACGAGTTACTCTTCTCGGTGAGGCTCTGAACCTCGGCATCATGCTCCTCCTGGATTCGAAGAAAGTCTTCGTGATGCAACACCGAAGCCTGCAAACAAAAGAAGAAACATTAGAATTACCTACAACTCTATGTGTAAAAGAAGCAACGAAAATGCCATCGGAGTTACCCGATTCAAAGCATGTTGGGCCTTGTTGAAGAGACAAGCGGGCACCACCGCACTCATCACTGATTGATCTTCTTCGGTTAGCAAAGACCGTAGGTAGCTGGCAATCCTTACAAGGGAAGAAAAAATACGGGTATCCGCAGGTACAGAGAGCACTATCTTCCGCCTTTGGTCGGGATCAATGCTCGGGGCCGAAAATCGATCCACCAGTTTATGAATAGATGAGGGCTCAGTAGAACCCAACCACGATGATTTTTTGGGTATCGGCATTCCACCAAGACCGGTACCCTCCTCTGAGACACCTGACTCGAGCCCCTCCAGAAAACCATGGATATCGGCCGACTCCTGAATACCCTCATAGGACTGATCCTCCAACATGCGGCCTCTCGAATCATGGCATCCGAAATATGAGGGGATCCGCCAAGGTCAACTATCCCAAACTCATACCTTGAAATACATTCTACTGCCCGAGAAGATCCACCATCGGTGTCCCTTTCGATCATCTTAGTTCGAGAAGGGATAATCTTGGCTTCTTCTTGTTCTGGGATTATGGCCAGGGTTCCCTGATTTGCTTCCACCAAATTGGAAGACTGTTGAATCACAAAATTATCCCGTACGCAGGTTAAATTCTCCTCTCCTTCTTCGGGATCGTCCCTTAAACGGTGGGCCACTTCCGAAGTCATAACACCAGAGCCCCTTTCAGCTTACGAGATCTCTTAGCAGGTTTCTTCTTCTCCGAGTTCGGGGATCCCGATACGTCTTTTCTCTTCCTTTCTTTTACCTGCTTCAGGACAGGAACTTCTTCGCCACCGGATGGGCCCCTCATGACTATATCTTTCCCGAGCCCTACAAAAGAGAAAACGGAGATTTACCATACAAACCGATGAAGAGACAAATCGACAAAAGATTTACCATGACTACGGGCCTCCCATCGACCCTTTGAAAATTCGACCTAAGCACGCTCGGAGTACGGTCTCTACAACATCAGACTTTCGACTCATTGTCTAAGATCCGGGATCGGTTTCGGCATTCGAGCTATGGCTGTGATAAGGAAAGAAAAATGGATCAACAAAATAAAAGGCAATCACAAAATCAAAATGGGCAAAGAGAAACGTTCACTCACGGCTCATATTCCATTTTTCGGGAAATGGAAGGTCATCGGCAGGGATCAGGTCCGAGGTTTTGATTCTAACTAAACGGCCCATCCAACCCCGATCCCGGGTTTCGTCTATGCTCGAGAATGGCGCTTTGGTTGCTCGGCGAGCAAGCTTGATCAAACCTCCTCGATAAAGTCGGGGACTGTAAAGGCGCATAAGATGATCGAGGGTGAAGATATGCCCATCGACCTTGCTCGAGAAAAATTGAAGAAGAGTCACTATCCTCCAAAATGAAGGGTGAATTTGGCCGAGGGTCACATTGTACCTCTTACAAAAGGCAACAATGAGAGGGTCTAAAGGTCCCAACGTGAAAGGATAAGTGTAAACACTTAAGAACCCTTCGACGTGGGTAGAAATTGATTCATCAGGCGATGGGATTACTACGAGTTTATTATCCCAGTTGCATTCTTGTATGACTTTATCGAGAACCTTTTCGGTAATTGAACATTGATATCTCGGCATTGGCTCACACCGACCCGGTATCGGAGAAAGCTTTTCAATTTTAAAATCGCCTACAGTCGAACACCCTACCGGAACAAATTCCTCAGGGCGGGTCTCTTCAACATCCTTGCCACCAGCAGATCGAGATGAAGAAGCGGTCTCTTTTTGCGGAACAGTTTTAGACGTTTTTGCCATTTAAAATTTTGTGAACAAAGAACAGAAGTATTTGGTGTTTTAAGAAAGAGTTTGCAGTAAAACTCACAGATTTACAGGTAGAAAACTCAGAAGAGACGAATAGGAACTTAGAAAAATTGGAAGATTGAAGACGTAAAGTATGAATGATGGAAGGAGATGCTATTTATAGATTGAAGCAATGACGGTTCAATATCAGAGGTGGCCGACCACCGTATGACATATTGAATGCCTTGGTAAAGCCGAACCGATGGGACATCTATCACATACGTCATGGTCGAGATCGATGTAAACGTCAGTATATATCTGATCGAGCTGTTGAGAAATCATATCATTTCTCGCCACATCCTTTTTCTGAGAAATGAGGGGACTATCTGTATACGGTCGAAATAAATTTCGGCCTCCGTACGTTTGATCGAGTTTAAATGGTAAGCGATCGAAGTGAGAGCTCGATACAAGTTCCGAGGATAGTACAAACAAGCCTCGAGCTCCAAGACTGATCGAGGAATCGGCTCGGTATCATTATCGAGCCCATGACCAAATCGAGCCGCAAGGCAACAAGAAGGCTGTCATAGATGCATTGACCGATTATCACTCACCCCGAATGTCGAACTCGAACTCAAGGTCGAGGGCTCGACCCAATACCGAGCTCAAGCCGGTATCGAGCTCGCAGACAGGAGCCGTTGCAATCGCACTAGGGGAGAGAATCTTGGCAAGAACCGAGGAAGAAACAATTCATCATGGGTTCTCCACTATATATATTTTTTTATAAACCAAAGTAAGATCCATCTACTATAAATGGGGGAATCATTGTAAGCATAAGGGGTGGAGAGACTGTAACATAATATTTTCTTCTCATATTGAAAGATATCCCCTTGTGTTTACTTCCCTTTATCTTATTCGTTCGTTCTGATTCAATATTCCCACTGTCATAGTCAAGAATATTCGTATTGCTATCTCTCTATACGATTTGTATCAAAGGGTATCACGTATCCTTAGAACCCTACATAAATTTAATGTTATCCGATTTTTCGGATAAACAAATATTTTGTTATATTAGTGAGCATATACTATGTGAATATAAATTAACTAAAAATCGAGCAAAATGGTTTTTGAATATTGAAAGTCTAAACAAGAAATTGAATGTTCAAAACTTTTTCTCTATTTGTAAGGTAGGGGTGGGAAATGGTAGATTTATGTGAGAATTCTACGACCAATTATAGTATTTCTAGTTTAGGAAATTGACGTTGTAAAAAAGGTAACCTAGGTAAAGAAAGTATTAAATGAGAATTTATCACTGCTCCTCTAGGTAAAAAATTAAGCATTCAATCAAGTCCGTCATTTAATCTTTTTAGAGTATGTGTGCCGGTAAATATATTAGATCAATTATAGCAAATATGTACATAAAATACATAATTTGACTAACAGAACATGAGTTCACATTCCCATCTATAAATCCGCCCCTGCCTAGCATGGCATAAACTTACTAGTTAGAACAACTTCTTGAGAGAATGTTATAACTTAAAACGGTATGCATAAATGATAAGTAGATTAAGAGTGTTTGGTATGACGAAAAATATTTTTTTATTTTTCACTGTTTGATTGCACAAAATATTGATAAATATTCTTTTAGGTAAATGACTTTTCTAAAAAAAGTTAAGAAATCATTTTTCAAAAACTCCACCAACCCTCACATCTAATTTCAATCCCATCCCCTTCTCTCCCATACCCCACCTCTCCCACCCCTCTCTCCAAAAAGGTTTTTTCTTTTCAAATTTTAGTTTTTTTTTCGTCACCGCCCACCCTACTAACCCTTGCCATAATTTTTTTGTTTTTTGTTTTGTATTTTCAATTTTTATTTTTTTTTTTATTTTTCTGCACCACTCACCCCAACCTCCTCCCTCCCAAGCAATATATATATATATATATATATATTTAAAATATTTTCAGTTCTAATTTTTTCAATTTTCAGTTTACAGGTTCGAAATTTTACGAGTTTCAAAATTATGAGCTCGGAGGTTTATGTGTTTGGAGTTTGCGGCTTTATAAATTATAGAGTTTATGAGCTCGAAAGTTTAGCGGTTCGGAATGTTGTTAGTTCGAAAGTTTATGGCTTCATATTTATTAATTGTATCTAAATTATTTATGAATACTCTTAAGAAATTATTTTTTAAAATTTACGTACCAAACATGAAAAAAAGAGAGTAATATTACTACTTATTTTCCAAAAAAATATTTTCTTAAAAATTATTTGCCGCGAAAAAACATCTTCCTTTTTAGGTAACATTCTAATACTTCACTGCTTACCATTTTCTTAAATTTTAACGCACTTGATTGCAGTCCTTATCTACCAAACCCTTTTAACTTTTCTCCTAATAGAAACTTCATAGAACCTCAACAAAGTTTCCAAAAAATATTTATTTAATAACTCAAATCATGAAAGGTATAAGCTACGTGCACCTCTTCTCACAATTCACACACATATATATACCCCATTCAACCTTCTTTTCCAAAGAACTCAGTTTCTTCATTTTTCTCTCTATTTTTGGCAGAATTTATTCACTCTCAAATAATCAAACCTCAACTCCATATTTAATTTCTTTTGTTCCAGTCGTTTATTTTCTTTCTATTACTTTGAAAGTTAGCTGCTTCAGAACTCAGTTTCTTCATTTTTCTCTCTAATTTAGCAAAAATGATGTTTGAAAACAGTGAATTTATCACTAATTTTGAACTTCTTGAATCGATTAAGCAACATTTACTTGAAGACTGGAGCTCTCCCGAAAATTCCACTTCTCTTTATTCCACTGAGACCCAAATATTTCCTAATTTATTTTCTGATAATTGGGAAAATATTCCAATTAATGAAAATGACACGGAGAACAGGTATATTTACAGTAATGCCATTACTTCTGCTGTCAAAATCGAGCCTGAATTTCCTAATTTCTTAGAAAATGACACAGAAAACATGTATATTTACGACAATGCCATTAACGAGCCGACACAATCTGCCGTCAAAACCGAACCTGAAGTTAGCGTTAGTTCACCGGAAATGTATAATTTCAAGGCACCTGCGGCTGTGCCACCGCCGGCGAAAAAATCAGAGCGTTACAGGGGAGTAAGGCAGAGGCCGTGGGGAAAATTTGCGGCAGAAATTAGGGATCCGGCGAAGAACGGAGCTAGGGTTTGGCTAGGGACTTACGAGACGGCGGAGGATGCGGCGTTGGCGTACGATAAGGCGGCGTATCGGATTCGGGGATCACGTGCGTTGTTGAATTTTCCGTTGAGGGTTAATTCGGGTGAGCCGGAACCGGTTCGGGTTGGTTCGAAGAGGTCGTCACTTTCGCCGGAGAGTTCTTCCTCGTCGTCGTCGGAAAATGTTTCGACGAAGAGGACGAAGAAGGTAGCTCAACTGTATAATTGAGGGTTAATTTGGGAATTCAAAATTGTACAATTTTATGGAATAGGTTGAGTTCACTTTTTATTACTGTATTTTATTTCCTCTCCTCGTAGAAATTTGTTCTTCTCGGTAGGATTGAGGAATTTGTTCGGCTTGACATTTGAATTTGGTCTAATGTATTGAATTTTTCGTTTAAAATAACACTTATTACTCTCTTTATTCCAATTTATTTGACTCGAAGGAGATTTTTAAGATTATAGATCTTAAATAATTGATATATTATTACGATTATAAAATCTTTTTATTAAGAATAAATAGAAAGATCATGAAACACTAGCTTAGGAACAAAGAAAAACATGATCTAGGAACAAATAGAAGTAAAACTTACAAAAACTTAAACTATTTGTTAAAAGACAAATCTCTCAAAACAGCCGCCACTATATAAGATTCTCTCCCAACACATCCGTTTAGGTTTTTACACGTTGTCTTTCCTTGTTCGTAGATTTACAGAAGAAAACAATCAATTTGAGAGGAATTTTATAATTACACACTTTCATTGTGTTTCCATAAACCAAATAAGATAACTAAATAATATGAAAGTTTAATAACTTTAATGGGCTAAAATATACCCTCGAATATGCACATTGGATCAAATGTGCTCTCTATATAAGACAGTTTAAAATAAGGATATATTTGGAACAAGTATTGGACGACATCAAACGGAATCAGAATTTTCATCAAGAGTTGTCAAAATATAAATAATTAGATATATCGAAAATTCAAAGAGAGTCAACGTATAGTAAATATATATAAAATAGCAATATAGTGTAATTTTTCGGCGAAACATTCCTTGGTTCAATGTGGCTCCGTCACTTGACGACATGATATTTTGTGCCGGATTATTAATGACGGGCATATCCGCTTAATTTCACAGAGTTCAAGGCCATGTTTGAACCTTATTCGTTGATTAAATTATGGAGTACTATATTTATTACGATATTAAAATACTTTACATTGTAAGGATATGTAATTTAAATTGTAAGTATTAGAAAAGTAAAGCTAAGAAGCTTCAACGTTGTTGCCTCCTTCCCAATCATTAGTATCATTGTATGTAACTATGTATGATTAACATTATAATCCAGAAAAGTTTCAAATATGGCTTTGTGCTATATGAAATTGAGGATATTTGCCCTTTGTTAATACTTTAGCTCATATATATCCTTACCGTCACATAATTGGTCCATATATACCCTTTTTGAAACAGAATCCACCCAAACTAATTAACTCTTGCTTTAATTGTATTAAAGTGTATTACAAACACTATTTCCTTTTTATTAGTACTTTTTTTTTCTTTACCTTTTGTTACATCTCGTGTTTCGTACGTAAAAGTTTCGTCTTCAGTTAATCGACGTAGACGCGGAGATGGGATTATTTTGTGGTTAACGTATTTATGCTATTTATAACAAACGATAAGTAAGTGCCATGGAGGATAAATGGCACATGAATTAAAGAAAATGAGTTTCGTTGAAGGTTGTCGATTTGGGATAAAATGCGGTTCGAGTTATAATACCCGATATTTATGGACTAATACCATACAAGGTACCATATGACCGTGATAATACGATGTATAAAGTGTATTAAAATAAGTAAAATTTTAAGTAAGTTGAGATAATTCTTAATTATATGGATAATTGATTAATTATTGGGTAATTAATTAAAAAGTAGGATAAGATTTAACCCCCAACGTGGCAATCATCCTTTACACTTAATTGACTAAGCATTAAAGATTTTAAGGTGTCACACTTTGACAAAGAAGTGTGACACCAAACTTAATTGTGGGGCCACCTAAAAAGAGTTGAATAATAACTACAGTGTTTTATGAAAGAATTCTCACAAACACTTTCCATAGCTTCATTAACGTAATTTCTCTTAAAGCTACCATCTTAATCTCTTCAAAGCTCAACAAAACTTTCCATACCTTTTAACGTCATGTTCTAAAGAGCTTAATTCAAGCTTCTCATAGTTACTCAAGGAGAGGTTCGGCCAAGATAATCTTTGCATAAGCAACGAGCTTTTCATACACCGTGTTCGGTGATTTTATCGCAATTAACGTGTGTTAGAGGAGTGTCAAAAAAATCGACTCAGGTATGTTAAGGCTATCCCTTCTTTCTTTTTTGGCATGACCCAAATGATACTGAAAGAAACGAACAAACACACAGTTTTCATAAATGACTCTATTCATAGAAATATTAGGGGTGTCTATATTCTTGATTCCCCATGTGAATTATTATTATATCTTCTGTTCATGGGTCTCAGAAATATATGTATTTCATAAAATTTATCCGACAAGCATATTATTTTTATGACATTCCGAGAAAATCCTATTAACGTATTTCTTATGCATTTCATGCATTTATACATGTACATTGACCCATAACCAGATGGCGTTATATAAACGTATATTATATGTATATGGGATATGAAAAAAGGTTATGGCGTTATATACGCACCACCACCTGATCAGCTAGTATATGTTGATAATTTTGCCCACAGTGGTCGAGATGATATGATGGGATGCCCTCATAGGCTTGATGATGTTATGTACACCTATACCTATGCATGACACGACATTTACACGCATGTGCATGACATTTCAAATGTTTCAGGATTTATAAAGTTATTTAGACTTACATGCGAAATTCTTTATTCCATGTTTCATCTATGTCTTCTATGTACTGATTTTCATGCCTTACATACTCAGTACATTATTCGTACTGACGCCCTATTTTCCGGAGCCCGCGTTTCATGCCCGCAGGTACAGGTAGACAAGCAGACGGTCCCCCTTCTTAGGATCCTTGATCAACGAGAGTTAGCGTGCTCCACTTGATCCGAAGCTGCTTTTGATTTTGGTATGATATACTTATATACATATATGGGTATGACGTGGCTCAGTCCCGTCTTTGTACAGTTGTATTTCTATTAGAGGTCCGTAGACAGTTATGTGTAGTCGGATAGTATGCAGCCTTGTCGGCTTTCAGTTTTGGGTATATAGTTGTCTATAGCAGCCCTGCCGGCTCATCCCATTGTATTTCGCATGTATATGTATATGTATATGTATCTTTTGGATAGATTTCCCTCACGTATGGTATTCATGTTTTTTATCTTAAACGCATGCTTAAGGATGTTCGACATGTAGGATTCGGGCACCCGTCGCGGCCCATCGGTTTGGGTCGTGACACCTTTCTCTTTTTTTTTTCTTCTTTTTTCTTTTCTTCTCTTTTTTTTTTCCTTTTTCTTTCTCCCATATCCGATTTCCTCCATTGCTGACGCCTTCTCTATTTCCGTCACCAATTTCACGTGATTTTATTCCTAAAAATCAAACCTAAACCACCAAAAGCTTCCTAGCGAGAAGGCTCTAGTTCTTCTGAAAAGAAGGAGATGAAAATTGTTGGAGAAAATTTTTCGGTGGTGTTAATTTGGTGAAGGTAGGATATGGTTATTCAGATTTCGAAGGTGTTGTTTTTCTGTGGAGCTTCAGATCTGAAGGGAACAAGACCTTCAAAATCTGAATAACCATATCCTACCTTCACCAAATTAACACCACCGAAAAAATTTCTCCGATAATTTTCATCTCCTTCAGGTTAGAAGAACATATGGAGTTTGTGATAGTAAAATTAGCATGAATTCATGAGTTTTGTCAAGTGGAATTGGTGACGAAAATAGAGAAGGCATCAACAATGGAGGAAGTCAGATATGTAAGAAGAGAAGAAAAGGAAAAAAGAAGAAAGAAAAGAGAAAGATAAATAAAAAAAGTACTAATAAAAAGAAAATAGTGTGTAATAAATTTTAGTACAATTAACGAAAGAGTTAATTAGTTTAGGTGGATTCCGTGACGGTAAGAGCATATATGGACCAACTATGTGACGATAAGGACATATATGAGTTAAAGTATTAACAAAGGACAAATATATTCAATTTGGGATAGTATAAAGACATATTTGGACCTTTTCCGCTTTATAATTGGTCTTAACTTATCAAACATTCAATTCCTTTTTATAACGACACGTGCGGGTGCCATGTCTTGCATTTCTAACAACACGTGCGGGTGCCAGGTCTTGTTTATTTTCTTTGAGAAAGGAGAATACGTAAAACTTATCCATAACTTTGACTTGCTTCCTTTTTCAAAAACAATCCTTCTCAAGTCTCCATTGCCGTCATATTTATTTAATGAGCTGTCTTTTTTTATTTGTTTAATAATTATGGTATCGAGATTAACTTAGTATATATCTTGATTAAATTCGCGAGGTATTTGCTATCTCTCACGAGAGTTATCCCCAGCTATCTAGCAAGGACGGATGTAGTATTACTATCTAGATCAATTGAACACATAATTTTCGACGCACAATAAAAATTTATATATAAGAATTTATTAAAATTACAAAAACAGTAGATATGAACTCACAATTTTAAATATATAATGAGTTTAATGCTAAAACCTTAAAAATTGAACCCGTAAAATTTAAATTCTGGATATGCATATGCCATCTATAATACCATTTCCCCCCTTCCTTTTCTGCTAATGCTCTGAAAAGTAGATCTTTAAAATGAAAATCTTCAAATGATTGTCCTTGACGTAATTACTTAAATGCATCTTTAAGCATGAGGAGACAGACAAAATTATTAAAATCATCTTTAAGGCTTAAGCCAAACAGATATTCTTTATCCTACGTAAATTGTAAGAAATATTGCAGTTCTTACAAAAGAGTATTTATTAGATTCACATATATAATTATACAGTTCAGAACTATTGTTCATCGGGTCTTTTAGAATATAGGTCTTTTCCAAGTAGTATGCTCCACTGCAATACAAAAGTCACGTAACTCGTAAGATATTAATCTTTGATATTGTATTTATACGATCAAGTCACCTATAAAATAATTATATAATAATTATTAATTATTGACCTGTTAAAAATAGTACATAATAATTAACTATCAGTGGCAAAACCAACTTACTCTGAGGGGTGTCAACTGATACTTTAACCGAAAGATTTTACCTTATAACTAGGATATATTTTTCAATGTATATCTATTATATGTTGAACCATCTTAATTTTTCCATAATGAAATTCTAACTATGACGATTAAAGTATATTAA